TGGGGGGGGCGGTGCTGGTCGCGCTGCGTGTGCAAGGGCGCGTGCACAGAGGTGCGTGTGCAAAGGGTGCGTGTGCAAGGGCGCGTGCACAGAGGTGCGTGTGCACAGAGGTGCGTGTGCAAAGGGTGGGTGTGCACGGGCGCTTGTGCAAGGGTGCATGTGCAAAAGGTGCATGTGCCAAAGGTGCATGTGCATGGGCACTTGTGCAAAGGTGTGCGCGCAGGGGTGCGTGTGCAAAGTGTGGGTGTGCAAGGGCACTTGTGCAAGGGCAGGTGTGCACAGGCACTTGTGTAAGGGTGCATATGCAAAAAAGTGCATGTGCAAAGGGTGCATGTGCAAAAAGTGCATGTGCAAAAGGTGCATGTGCATGGGCACTTGTGCAAAGGTGTGCGCGCAGGGGTGCGTGTGCAAAGTGTGGGTGTGCAAGGGCACTTGTGCAAGGGTGGGTGTGCACGGGCACTTGTGCAAGGGTGCATGCGCGAGGGTGAGTGTACAAATGGTACATGTGCCAAAGTGGGTGTGCATGGGCACTTGTGCAAGAGTGCATGTGCAAAAGGTGCGTGTGCATGGGCACTTGTGCAAGGCTGGCTGTGCAAGGGCTTTCCGTCTGAGAGCAGCGTGTGCCAAGGCTGCATGTGCAAAGGTGCTTATGGTAGGACACGTGCAAGCACTGATGGTGCAAAGGCTACTCATGCAAAGGTACTCGTGCAAGTGTAGGTGTGCAAGGGCCACTGGTGAAAGGGCTGTGTATGCAAGGCCTACGCATACAAAGTTCGAGCTGCGAGGGCTGCTCGTGCAAGGGCTGCCCGTGCGAAGGCTGTCCAGTGTGCAAGGCCTGCCCATGTAAGAGTGGGCATGCAAGGGTGCTTGTGCAAGGCTGCAGGTGCAAGGTTTGCATGTGCAAGGTCTGGGTGTGCAAGGGTGGGTGTGCAAAGGCTGAGTGTGCAAGGTCTTGGCCTACAGAGCCTGGACACCTGTGCAAGGGCCAAGCAGCTGTGCAAGGGCTGGATGTGCTGGGACAGGCAGCCGTGCAAGGGCTGGATGTGCAAGGGACAGAAGTGCTGCTGGGGACAGTTGTGCAAGGGCTGGATGTGCTGGGGAGGCAGAGTCAGCAAGGGGTTGGTGTGCAAGGGCTCGACGTGCAAGAGGCAGGCAGCTGTGCAAGGCCTGGGGACGTGCAAACGTTAGACCCTCGTGCAAAGGCTCCATAGACAAGGGCTGATCACTCAAGCAAGTTGTGCAAGAACTGGATGAGCAAAAATGGGTCACTCGTGCAAAGGCGGGATGGACAAAGGCCGACCAGTTTTACGTTCTGATAAGTTTCAGGATAAAGGGAAAAAAATAAATACAAATAAAAATAAGCTGTTTAAGCTCCAGGCTTCTACATGATGCACCAAGATGCCTTGGAGCATCGTGTTCCCCTTCTCCCGGTCGCTGGGGCTTGGTAGCATGGAAAGCAGGCCTGGGAACTCCGGTTACGCGGGATGGCAGCGACGTAGGGCAGGAAGGTTCCCGGAAAGGCCTTTAGTCACTTCCCCTCGTCGGGAGCAGGGTGCCCGCGCCGGGGGCCGCGGTCTTTCCGACGTGGCGCAGCACATGCTGCCAACCCAAAATAGAGCCAACGCTTCTGCTTTTGGCCTGGACGGCGGGGGAAGGGAAGGGGAACCCTGCCCTGAGCTCCATCCCTGCGCTCGGAGAACCGGGAGCAACGCACACGTGGCTTTTTCCAAACCGGGAAATCCAAAGACTCCTCTCCAGCTTCGGCCCCTGCCACTGATGCTACTTCGAGTGCAGCAGGGCGATTCCCAGGGCCTGAGCACCACATCCCCCCAGAGCCACTTGGGGCAGCTCTCCTGGGCATTATTCCACCCTGGATGCTGCAGAAACAGTGTTTTCCTTCTTGGTGCCCTCGACCTGGTCCCTCAGCCAGGCTGCCGACAGCAGAGGGCAGTGGCACGTCGAGGCAGCGTGTCCCAGGCCGGCGCGCTTGGTGTGCGCTTGGGCTTCCTAAGGTCCTTTCCCAAACCCGGAGGGCACTCGGAGTCACAGGGGACGCGGCCCGGCAGCTTCAGGGCTCTGGCGTTTCAGGAAGCGACAGTTCCTAAGACTTTCCATGGCTTATGTGAAGCAGGAAGCAGCACAGGGTCCTAACTCTTCCCTAGGGTCGGAATGAAGTGCTGATGCTGGACCAGGAGCGGGGGCGCTTGGTGCTGGCCTCCGGTACCAGTGGAAAACCTGCCTGTGTCATTCCCTGAACTCCAACCCCATCATCTCACTCCTGCACGGCACTCCTGGATACTGGGAAAACTGGGGAGCATCCAGTGAGACCCCCAGAGTGGCTGCTGGCACTGGCCTGGTGCATCCTTATGGCTGGATGCTGCTCCACTGAGCTCTTCCTGGGGCCGCTTGGACCACCGGGCAAGCTGGAAGGTGACCTCAAGGGTTCCTGCTCTGTGAGTCAACTCTGGAGCTGCTCCTTGGAGCTACCAAGGCTTTTCCACCTCAGGGGACACCCTGGCCTTCCTCGCTAGGGTTTTTAGGGAGAACTTGGCTCCTCTCCCACCTGGGGTTTCCCTGCCCTTCCTATGGCTCCATCGGAAAGCCGAATGCCGGCAGCTCCGGCTCCCCCAGCGAGGGCTCCCTGAGGTGCCACAGCATGAACCAGACCTCTCCGATTCGGCCTCCTCCGGCTCCGTGGGGCCGTTGAGTCATCGAAGGGAAGGAAAATACCCATGAGGTCATCTGGGCTGCCGGTTCTGCATGGGTTCCCCATCGGATTATTTGGCACTCGCTGCCAAGCGAGAGGAACTCAAGCGAGGAGGCAAGAGGTGGGGACCTCCCAAGGCTTGGTCCGCTCCGGGCAGCTGAGGCTGTGCCCGGGACAGCTGAGAAGCCTTCGGCCGCCTTTCCTGCGGGCAGATTGCCTCGGAGACAAGCCGCTCACATTTCCCTTCCTCGGTTTCCTTAATTAGAAGTGGGCACGGCGTTTCTCTGCCCTCCGGATACAGCCTGAAATAACAGGCAAGGCGTGGGAGCGCTGCCCGCCTGGGGATAGTCGTTTCTTCCACCGGCTCAGGGATCACACCGTTCAAGTTCCCCCTGCCTCCACTGCCTGCCTTTTCTTTTTTTCTTTTTTTTTCTTTGTGTTTTTTTTTTTTTTTTTTTTGCTGTTTTTCACTGTCATGTGGACTCCCAGGGTGTTTCCTCCCTCCTAGGAATCATGCACGAGCTCCAAGCCAGCTTCTCGCTTCTTTTCCATCCAGGCCTGGATGCAGCTAGAGTCACCCTGGGGACAGCTCTGAACATCAGCTGGCTTCCCTCAGTGCGAGGCTTGGGATGGGGGAAATAACCGCAAGGAAGTGTGTCCTTGGACACTTCTGTCTCCAACTGTGTCCCTCTGTCACACTTCGCAAGAAGACTGTCCCCTTCCCTTGGTTACAGAAGATGGGGGGCCACCAGCTTTGTCTCCTGAGGTCCATCTGCCCTGAGGTCCATGCTAGACTCACGGGGTTGCTCCTGTTGAGTTTTTGCATGCCCTTCTGTGGTTCCACCACCAAAATGAATCAGGCCAGTGACAAAACTTCTGTGGAGCAATCCTTAGCAGGGCCTCTTGCTCCAAACCTCAGCAACCAGGAAGTTTACCTCACCCTCATTTCCATCAGAGATCCCCTCTTTCAACTGATTACAGGATCCATATTAAAATGCCTTGAAAGAGACTTAACCAAGAGGTCCCAATAGGCATCTGTTACACAGCAGCTAAATCTTATTAAGCATTAGCAAGCACCTTACTCCTGCAGTCTGGTAACAGCCTCATGCAGATCCTTTCTGAGCTTTGCCAGCTCTTGGTATAATCAGGCAATCTCATAAAACATGTTTACAAGGGGCCCCAGGAGGTCACCTAGTCCAGCCCTTGCTCCATGGCAGGAGCTGCTCCTTTATATTGATTTGATTTCTCTGGAGCAATTGCTAATTGCGTCACTAAGAGGAAGTGGAGGGGAAACTTCAGCTTTCCTGAGGCCCTGCTGGATTTGCATGTCCCTTTCATGCAGGAAGAGCAGGAGGTGATATTTAAAAGCATTCCTCTCTCATTTCTGCTCAACATTCCCCATATTCCATTAATTTGAGAAGACAACACTTGGATGTTAAAGTGAAGGAAGGACTGTGCTTATGACTTTTTGTTTGTTTGATTTAAGTGAGTGCAGGGGGCTGCAAGACACATATGACCTGTTTGCAGCTGGAGGATGCCAACCTGCTCCCAACGGGGCTCATTTCCAGAGCAGAGTAACCCTGACAGTAGGACCTGATGATCTTGAAGATCTTTTTCAGCCCTAATGATTCTATGATTCTATGACCCTGGGCCTCTTAAGGAGTTGGACCAGTCCCTTACAGCCCCGTGTCAAAACTTCTCGAAGGACTCTTCCAATGCCCTCATGTGATGGAAGGGTGTACCCACAGAAGGTTGGATACAAGCATCACGGCAAATGAGGTCCATCATGCTGTATGCATGCTACTGTGTGTAGGTGCATGAAATGTGATGTTTTCAAATGTTTTGCTCTTTAATTGCTCTCCATCCTTAAGAAAATCTATATTATCTCACATTCTTTGAAACACCAATAAATGATTCCCCTAAAATCCAGTCGTTCTTCTTTGGCAGCAAAGGGGACTTCTCTTTACTGATGTTCCCAAGAGCTGGAGAAGTCATTTAAAAAACAACAAGAAATGGGATTTTTCCCTCCTGCTTCTGTTCATGTGTATGTCATACAGT